GGGCTTGTATAAATGCAGCCCTGTAATCATGAATCCAACATTAAAGGATGAAAGCTGTGTTAACCTTGTCCAAAAACATAATAAATTGGCCCTTTAATGTATTTTTTAAATGTGATTAGTGCATATGCCTGATTCTTTCACTGTCCAGTCACAGGGGTGGAAAGGAGACCTGTAAGTGACACTGCACAAAAAAAATCTGGTCCCTTACCCTGCTAGACGGGATTGTGCTAAGGGACACTTTAGCCGCTAAAGACTCGCTGTACAGGCTCCTCGGCAGCCTGTATGTACCTCACCTCACCTCTGCTGCTATTGACTGGGAGGGAGAGTGCAGCACCGTCATTGGCTGCCTGGGTATTTTAAGCAGAGCGGGAAGGGGCCTGCAGAGAAGGCACAACCAGGCTGCTTGGGGCTTCACATGAAGCAGACATTGATGCTTCCCCCTCCCCCCACCACCTCTAACTGGAGAGGAAGAAGAGGGCACGAGGACAGAGCAGATTAGCACTGTAAATCCCTTTTCTATCTTACACCGCTGACCTCTGCACTGCGTCACATTACTGACCTCCGCACTGTGTCACATTACTGACCTCCGCACTGCGTCACATTACTGACCTCCGCACACTGTGTCCCATTACTGACCTCCGCATTCTGCGTCACATTACTGACCTCCGCACTCTGCATCACATTACTGACTTCCGCACTCTGCGTCACATTACTGACTTCCGCACTCTGCGTCACATTATCGACTTCCGCACTCTGCGTTACATTACTGACCTCCGCACTCTGCGTTTATTATTATCGCTCCCTCCGCCACTCTGCTGGGCCCGGCCGGCCACACCGAACAATCGGGACCCAAAGCAGAGGCTGCACTGTAGTCAACCAAATTAGGCTGCCGCCTCAGCCCACCCTGGGGCTTTGCAGCTGCCTAATTTGTGTGAGTACAGACTGCCCAAGGCTGGCAGTGCCCGAAACATCCCAGAAGGAGAGGCCAGGTGAGTGCGCTGTACCCCAGGGGGAAGAGGGAGAGCCGGAGGGGCAGTGCACACAGAGGCGGTGAGAGAGGAAAGGGGTGGCACAGTAGCAGTGGAAGAGCCAGATGGGGGGGACTTATTTTCTGGCAGTGCCCCTCCCGAGACTAGACTCTGGATCCGCCCCTGGCTGGATGGTTAGAAACTTTGTGAGGTAAAACAGCTATCTGTTTTTCATCTGTGTATTTAGTTGTTTGCCTAGAGTTTTCTGTAGCTGCAGTCACTCTGGATAAACTCCCCCTCAAAGCACACAGCAGAGTTATTCTCTTATTTATAATATTTAGACCTTTTATATAGCCTTACATATGATGCAGAACATTACATAGATATAGTCAAATCTGTTCCTCAAAAGAGCTCACAATATAATAATTTCCCTACCACACAACATTATCAGCAATTCAGTAGGAAGCCGTTTAACCTATAGGTGTGCTGTTGGACTCTGAGAAGAGACTGAAGAACTCCCATGCAAACATAAGATGAACATACTTGCCACTGGTGAGACTTGAAGCCGGAACATAGTACTGCAAACTAAACTCTTAATCACAGTAAACTCTTAATCATGTGCGAAATATGGCCCAGGTAGTGAGGAACTTACATTTGTCTGCATGTGAAGAGTGTACTTACACTGAATAATGTCATGAGGATAGAGAGAAATTGGGGGACACAAATGCATTACCCATTCAAAGCCAATGCAGCAAAAAAAGTTGCACTGCGAGTATACATATTTACTCTTAAAATAATGAACTTTTTGCCTTTTAGTATACAGCATAACTCAAAACTAAGGTTAAAGTCTGGAAGACTGAAAAAAAAGTAAAGTGGCCTTTCATTCCAGTCCATCTAAAGGTGCCCATACACTGCTCGATTCTCGTACGAGAATCGCGGGAAATCCCGCGATCGTACGAGAATCGAACAGTGTGAACGAAGACTTGCGACCGTTTCTAATGTACGGTCGCACGTCTTTTGTCTAAGGAGCATGTTAGAAAACCAGCCGAGAATTGTACGATTTTCGGCTGGTTTGAACAGTGCTCGGGAGACAAATGCCGAACGGGCCGGTGTGCGCACGCGCACACTGTCTGTTCAGCATTGCGGTCATCGGAAACCCGCCCCTCAGGGGGGCGGGCTTGCGATGATCGAGAGTGCGATCTGCCTGTCCAAGATGGGCAGATCGTACGTTTTTTAATCACTTTACAACCATCGCAAGACTAAGGTCTTGCGATGGTTGTAAAGTGTATGGCCACCTTAAGTTTGCTTCCCAATTGCAATAATTAGTGTCAGGATTATTAATGTGAAGGTGTGAGGGCTTTAGTTCTGTTGTATTCAAATCTTTTGTCCCATAGAGTAACAAATGTCACTGTTGGATTACCTTGTGAATTCTGTCTTGCCTTGGTATTAGAATGTGGAACTTCAAAGACTGCTGATGTATTGCAGTGTTTTCATGTTTGTTGGTATGATTACCATACATGATTTAGTTTTAAGCAGTGTGGTACTAATTGCTGCATGGCAGTTTGTAAACAGGTCAGCTCTGAAACTTACTCTGGTAATGGCCTGAACTGACATTGGTTATGTTGTTCAAAGATTATGTTATGTTATTTCTCTAAGAGAGTGCAAATTTTCCTTAAGAAAATCTGTCCTAATAGAAATCTAGCATCTGCCATTCCATATTGTTTCTGAAAAAGCTGGTTGCCTGGCTGTAATGACCCTCTTGATTTAATACTTTAGGTCACAAACATGGAACAAATATTTTGTACTATAATGAACAGGAGAGAGACAGATGATTGCAAAGGATTGTACATAATGATTATGGTTGCTACCATGCAACAATGGAGAAAGTGGAAGCTGTTGGGAGTGGAGGACATGGCTTCAGTGTGACAGCGAGTAGAGGGGCAGCACAGCCTGCAGCTTCTCCTCGGATCCCCCCTGCTCTCCCCCACATGTAGGGCAGAGGCCGCGGGGATCCAATTTGGAGAGCGGGAGGATCGGTAAATATCTGTGATTTTTAATGATCCCCTGTGTGTAAACATCACTTCCTGTTCATTCATAAATTTCTGAATGGGTAGTAGTACTCACTATAGAGGCTTCTATAGAAGCCCCCCAGCAGTAAAAAAGATAAAAATAAAAAAAACAACACACACACACATTATTAGACATGTGCAAAGACTAAACATTTGTTTAGGACTAAATGAACGGAAACTAAAAACATTTTTATTAGTTTCGGCAAACAAAACTAATTTTGAATCTATTTCGGATTTAGCCACCGCTGTGTTCTGCGCATGCGCACTGCCGTCCTGGAGACGGGAGCATGACGTCACATGGTGACGTACACCTGTTTAGCTACAGCTCTGTGTTCAGTTTGGCAGCTGCATCAAAATTGCATCACAATGCTTTCTAATGGGATATCTGGTGCTCTGTTCACACCAGTGCAGTCAGTTCCGATGCAGTCAGAAAAAATCCTGCTAGCCACATTTTAGCTGCAGCTGATTGCAACGCATCAAAAACGCATGCATACACATTGCAACGCATTGGACTGCACCTGAAAACCCATTTTAAGCTTTAAAAAAGCGTCAAAATCGCGGCACAACACATCACACTGCAGCTGCGCAAACACACACAGTCATGGTAGCTCTAAGGGTCAGTTCACACCAGCTCTGGTTTGTTTCAGCATGATTCACTGCTGGAACGCTTTGGAGCGCATCCCGGCCAGCTTCCTGCGTTCAGGTGTGGGAGCGGGTGTTTGCGGCGCGTTGAAGTCAATGGCACCGCAGCCATGCCCTCCCGCCCACGGTGCGATCACCCTCCACAGAACACGTTGCACATCAGTGCCTGTGTTTCAGTCCAGTGTGATCTGAAAATATAGTTCTAACCATCTTGTCTTGGTTTTTATTGTAACTGTACTGTCTCCCTGTATGTTGTAAAGCACTGCACAAACTGTTGGCTCTATATAAATCATGTATAATGTATAAGTTACTTTTTTTTTTAAGTTTTGGATAGAGTAGGAAAAAGTTAAAATTTATTCGAGGCTTTTATTTCTGCCTGTGACTCCATTGTGGAGTTTTTTCCTGTCCCTGTGAAATGATATTTCTGTACCAGAAATGGGGAGTACAGGCATCACATGGTCAGGAAAGCATAAACACATTGCCAAGAGTAGTAATCTTGGATTTACCTGTAACGTTAAGCTTTGCCCCACCTCTCCCACTTTCCAAGGTACCCTTTAGGTCAGTGGTTCTCAACCTGTGTAACCTCGGGGCCCACATTTTTCCTTGGTCATTAAGTCGTGACCCAAAAATGATTCATTTCTGAGACATTTTCATTTATTACACAAAACAACTTGTGCACTATTCAGCAACGTATATATATGCACATTTTAAACATTATTGGGGGTATGGAATTGTATTGTGGGGGGTATGTGGGGGTTTGGAGCTTTAGTAGGGGGTGCGAGCATGCCACATTCAAACATGCTCCATAGACAAAAGACGTGCGACCGTAGAGTAAAAACGGTTGCACGCCTGCCATACACTTTGCGATTATCGTACGATTGCGGGATTTCCCGTGATTATCGTGCAATAATCGCACAGTGTATGGGCACCTTTTTAGTAAGTAAGGCCACCTGTTAAATTAGACAACTAAATAGGTGAATCAGCAAGTGGGAGGATGTATTTTACGTTGGGGGTAAGCAATAGACATAGTCAACATGTTTGGTCAACACACAGACTAATCCATGGCCATGAATAAGTTTGATCGACAAATGTATTGGTTACTGGTTTTATCTCCAACATGGAATGTTGGAAATAAAAGTGTTGTTTTATCAGCTTAGAATGTGCTGATCAACTTTGTTTATTTCTTGTACAACAGCTTACAAGAAAGTACAATGTGAAGCTTAAAAAAAATTACTTTACGCGTTATATGGTTAAAAAGTTCCACGTAAAGTTTAGTAATTAGACACACTATTGATTTCATGGGTTGTTTTTCTCCACTCAGGCAAAGTCAGCCTGTCTATCCCCTCTCTTCTTGTGGATTTAGACAGCCCTATTCCTCATCGCTCTCTACAAGTGCTTCATATTCAAGGTGAGTTGATAGTTGATCGCTTCTCAATGTGTTTACGGCTTTGCAGCTTACATTGCTAAAGCTTTTGTATGTCATGCTTAATTTTTCCAGTTGCACAGGACATTTTATAGCACAATGCCACATGTCTCATGTCCTAATGTGCATCTCCAGTCTTTTTAAAATGTTGTGTCCACGTTCCCTGTGCAAACCATTGTTTTGAACTTTACAGTGGCGCAATGTGCAGCATTACAGCATTTTTGTGCATTGTTTTTGTTGTGTGTTCCTAGAAGCTGACATTGCTTGGTGTACAAGGTAAAACATTTAGGACGCTATATCAAATTTAGATTTGTATTTATTTTTTATTAGGCAGAATCTCATGTTGATAAATAATAGCTGGACTACCTGCTTATGTCCCCTCATGGCTCTGGTAAACCATAATGGTAGTGTAAATGGTCTGGGGATAAATCAGGCCCTAACAGATTAGTGCAGTATTATTCACATCTAAATAAACACCATTGCTAGCACCTGTCTAGGCTGCACATATGACAAAGTGTGTAACTCCACCAAGATTCAGAACCAAAAAATGTCCACAAACAAAAAAAGTCTACATGCAAAAATAAAAGGGAGGGGATGGAGGAAATGCTATAAACTAATTAAGTTACCTAATGTTAACTACAAATTTTAGGGTTATTAAAAACTAATAATGGTTAAAAAACAAATTGTATTTTGCATGTTTTCTCTTTTATAAAGATTCTAAAGTTGTGTTTCTAGTACAAGGCATTTTTTTACATTTTGATGCTACAAAAACAAACACATTTAAAAAGTTTAGATACTAACAATAAAAAAGAGCAAAAGAGAATACTGAGGGTGAAGGAGTTTAATAAAACTAAATAGGGCTATCTAAAGGTAAATAAGGGTCTAAAATGGTGTTTAAAATATTTTGATTTCATACAGAGTGGTAATTTACAGGTCTCTCGGTGGTTTATCTTAATGCAGAGTCCCTGTATAATCCACAGGAATGAGCTGTCAGTTTGACAGCTTGGTCCTTTACAGTGCCCTTGCAGAGTCTGGCTGGTCCTGCTTCGCAGGCCTTAAAGGCAAGTCCTGCGGACCACTTGTGCCTGCAGAGCATGTGTAGGAAGGAGAAAAAAATAAACTTTTTAAACAGGTTTAAACTTACCTGTGTCTTCGCCGCGCACTCCTGTTCGAACATCTGATGAGTCTAGGGCAGCCGCAAAGGATCTTGGGGCGGGCGCATGCGCAGTTCAGAAGTTCGGCCAGTAGACAAGGAGAGAAACAAGGTAAGTCTATGAAGCAGCGTGCACCCGCACAGACTCTGTTGGACATCAGAGGAGAGGAGGACAGAGGAGTCAGCGCTGGATCGGAGACCCGCACCAGCACTGGGGGGACATCTGAAAACTAAAGAAGAAGATGATCAGATTAAGAGGCATGATTTAACCCTTTCGCTGCCAAGCCCTCCGGAACATTTTTCAAATCAGCTGGCCAAGCCATTTTTGAATTTTCTGCAATTTATTCCTATTGATTTGATTTTCAACTGCTGCGTTGCTAGCGTTTGTAAAAGACCCCCCAAACCATATATTGTCTGAAAGCGCAGGCCCGATAGAATAAAAAGATGGTGATACTAATGCTATAAATTTAAAGGGGACAGTCTGCTGAACAGTTCTACTATAAGCTGATGGTCGCTAAAGCGACCATCAGCTTATAGTACAACTGTAAATGCCAGGTCCGTACGGCGTACTGAGCTGGCCAGCTGGAAGCACTTTTGTAGCTCCGTACGACGTACGTCCTTGGCAGCGAAAGGGTTAAGGTAAGTCTTTACACTAACATTGTGGGGAGGGGAAAAAAATATCCTTTAATGTCACTTTAAAGCAACTCTATAATTTGCACATGCAGAGCACAGCAACATGTTTGCTTTAATGCCTCCTTCCCTAGCAGCAAATACTCGACTCTCCATTACTCACCTATCACTCTGTCCAGCTGCAGGAAGGGAAATCCGATGTAAGCTCTGCGTGAATCTAGTCAGACTTTACCCAGAAATGAGGACTCTGTTCACCACTTTTGTGTCCCTGCTAGGTCAAGTCGGGCCAAGCAACAGCATTGTCACATGAGAAGAGGCTAAGTAAAAGTCAGTATAGCAAGCACCTAACTCCACGCTGCAATGCATAATGAGTTCTACGGCATTTTATCTTGGTCAGGTCAGATGAAGGGGACACTTTAATTGACTTGAAACACACTATACACAGGCCCGGATTCCCCACAAGGCCGCCGAGGCCCGGCGGCAGGGCGCAGAGGGGCAGCAGCGGTGTCCTTGTGGGGAAGTTACCTTCTCTACATTTAGTCCTGCTTTGTACAAGCAGGACTAAATGTAGAGTGAGGCAGCCGATTTTTTGTTTACATGTGAACTCGGCGATGTCACCGAAATCACATGTAAACAGTGTGCAGCCTCCTCCCTTCCCCCCTGCACTTACCTCTCTCCTCTGGTTCCGGGCTCCGCCGCCGAGTCTCTCACTGCAGTGAGCAGAGCGGCAGTGTTAAAAGTAACCCTGCCGTTCCGTGACTGTACACAGTGAGAGGGCAGAGCTGTGCTCTTCCTCTCTCACCTGTCACAGGAGTTCCAGCACAGTACTGTGCTAGAACTCCATCTCAGATGTGGGGCGGCAGGGCGAGTAAATCCGGCCCTGACTATGCATCTCTATGATGTATATCTATCTCAATAAATACATCTGTGATCAAAATCTTGTTATTGAGGTTCGCTTCTCCAGTACAAAATTAAGCACTCCCTATATTGATTTTTTATTTAGTTTCTTCTCACTTCTTGCCCTGTACATATACAGTGCGCTAATGTGTAAAGCAAGCTACCTGGTTTGGTCCTACTGTTTGATGGACCTTTGTTGCACATAAAAGCAGGGTGGAGGGAGTTACATGCTCCTTCATACCCAGAAGGACTAAGTACTTTGCCTGGCAGTTGAACAAAGAGGCAGCACTCCTAAAAAGATAATTTGATGACCTAAAAGACTGGTAAGTTACTGAGGACAGAGCAGTTAGCCGGAAACAGTAGGTTCACGCTGGCTTTACACCTACTCATTGCAGTAATGTGAGATCAGATGAATGTTTTGAATGGCGCCCAAATATACGAGTTATAGTGAAATAGAGAAAAAATATGTGTCCAGTTCTAGGTACAGTGGAAGCCCCTTTTAAAATAATGCATAGCACAGTAACACTCATGTGGTAATCTCTAGCAGTATCCTGCCTATGTTGACAGCTCTCCTGCTACCTTAGATTGAACGTCTCTAGCTCATTGTGACCAGGCCCTGTCAAAGGTGTGTTCTGGAAAACATCTGTGTTTTGTATTCCTTTCAAAGGGGGCCGGAATCTGCTTTTTGAGGAAATGATTGAAGCTCATTACCTGTTTGGAGACAACCAATGAGCAGAGTAGACATTTAAGAGGAGAAAGCTGTATTTATAAAGTCTGTGATCCCAGATGAGCCTAAACAGAGTAAGACATACAAAAACGTTGGTAGCTAGATTGAATTAGTAAGGTTTATGTGCCTATTCATTTTATTGGGAAGGATAGCCACATCCTAAGTTTGGCTTCTGTAATTAGAATTAGCAAGGTCAGGTTCAACTTAACGTAGTTTTGAGCTGTAATTGAATCATAATCCCTAAATATTTTAATTTGTCAACCCATTGAAATGGATAATCCGATTTGGGTTGTGTTAGTCCATTAGGGAATATTATGGATTTGTTTTGGTTACCTTTTAAACCTGGAAATGTGCCAAATACTGCTATACTCCTAAGCAGTTTGTTAAGGGATTGCATATTTCCATCTACTGTAGGTATATTGGGGTATCATCTGCATAAAAAGAGATTTTTATTCCTCAACTCTGACCCATGTAAGACTTTTGATGATTTCTTTATTATTTATTTATGTCATGTTTTTTCGGGGTGTTAATATACAGAAAACCACAGGTCCAGATGGGATAATGAGTGCTCAATGACTGTGCTTAGGAACTGGCAGAAGTGATCTTTTCAAGCTTTCTCCATTGTCGATTATTCCATCAAGCATTAAAGAGGGTATAACATATCCAGTTCCCAAAAAAATGTCTTGCAGTTCTAATGATTATAGATTAGTGGCAAATACATCTCATAGGATAAAATGCTTTAAAAAGCTCCTTTTGAAGTATAGTCCTGCTTTTCACCTCTGATGGATCAACAGCAATATGCATATAGTCCTAATCGATCTACAGAGGACACTGTTGCTACATTATTTCACACAATATTGATGCATTTAAATGAACCAAATACTTATACTAGGGTACTTATTATAATTTTGCCTTTAAAGCTATGGGTCCTAAGAAGATGATTTCTAAATTAATGGATGTTGGCCTTCAGCTTTTGACTTGTATGGGGATTTTAGACTTTTTCACTAACTGACACCAATCCTTCTTTGCTCAAAAATAGATGCTGCTTGATAGAACAGCTTATTTTGCGTTACATTTATTTCATGAAAGTTTAGTACCCTATGTTTCAGTATAGGGGATCGGTAGTTTGTTTCAGTGGGAATCTTAATGTATTCTTGTACAGTCCTATTGTAGGTTGTCTGTAAATTCACTAGAGTTTGGCTTTGCTGTTTATGGAACATGTTAATGGATTTTTAAAAAAATTACCCCCTTGCATGAGTCTTAAAGACATTGCATTTATAAGCTAAATTAGTGGAACCCCTATTTAGTGCCTAGTACTGTGACAGGTCTGCATTTGCAGCTGTTTGGACTTCCTCCACAGTCAACCACAGTAAGCTCAGTCTCCACCGATGGCCAGGGTGAGCCACATCAAGAGTGGCTTTGAAAATAATGTGATCAGATATAGTTTGCCATACATACTCAATGTCATCCTCACAGGGAAGTAGGTCTCCAGTCACAAGTGCATGATTCAGTCATGACAGGGCTTTATATTTTTTCGATTGACAGGATTAGATATTTGGTTGGGGTATTTCCAGCACCATGAGTCCGTGTAAGACAAGGCATTACACCAATCTCTTATTAAACGCAGTTCAAAGGGCAGGGGGCATAATCTGTCCACCATGGGGTTCAGAGTAAGATTGAAATGTATTAAAAGAGTGTTCTTGGGTGGAAGGTAGAAGAGCTTACACTCAGTCTCTTTAAATAGGTCCCTGTCTAGGTGTGGGGGGGATTATAAATGGCTATGAGGATTATAGGTTAGTTCTGTACCTTGCAAGCAGCATTATAACATATCTATCTTTAAAATTGGTAATAGCATGGAGTACAGGATATTTCTCTGACGTAGGTCTAATTGAACTTGTCTCTGGCTTTCCTTGTTTCCACCAAGAAGCTAGGATAAATAGGTTGTATCACCCCATTGAATTGTAGCAGAGCTTGTTCTCTGACTATAGTTGAAAAGTTTAAGGATCATGGGCTGCGGGGGTCTTATCTGTGTCAGAAAGAGCTACAGTAAGAGGTTGAGATTAGCCCGTTTTTAATAAACATCACAGGGTCAGAGCCCTCAGATTTTTCAGGTAGGCCTCCAATTCCCACATTATTGCTCCAGAGGCAATTCTCCATGCTAAGCTTTAGCCTCTATGGCAATAATCCGACAATCTGCTAGGGACGGGACGATAGGTATCCACTAAGTCGCTAACTCTCCTTTCTACTTCTGTAGTGCATTTTCTCATGCATTGCATATTTTGTCTAAGGGAGGCAAAGTCATTTTTACACTTACTAACCTTAGGAGATAAATGGCACATGTATACAGCTTTAAGGATTTTGAAAATTGATTAGTGCACTACATGATCTGAGGTGGTGAAGATCGCAGATGCGAGAGAACCAGAGCCTGTGGTAGTGGAGGATTGAGATCCCTGCTTTAAAATGGGATCAGCAAGTACCTGTGTAAGAGGGGGTTCCTGGGCTGCTGTAGTGCTAGTTGTTATATCACCCGATTCTGCTGGCTGGCTGTGATTCAGCTGGGTGTTGAATTGCTGCAGCTCTCTCTGTCTCACATGTGTGGATTCCACTGAGACTGAGCTGTCACTGAGACTGAGCTGTCACTGAGCAGCTCCATCTCTTTTTTAGAGAAAGACACCGAAGGACCCGCCATGGTACCAGTGCTATCCTGTTTTGCAGCATGCAGGTATTGCGTTGTGAATCTCTGTACTCCAGAGTGGCCAGTTTCCTCATTCACCTCTAGACTGGTTGCTGGCCGTATGCAGAAGGATTTCAGGACTTTTGTGTTTTGTGCAATCAAAATGTAGCTGTCCAGGAGTGCTGTTGTTCACATCAGTGTCCGGCCATGCCCCTCCTTTAGTTAGATTTAATAGATTAATATACTAGACTCTTTCTTGAATCACTTGATACTAATAAGGTACGTTTTTCCAATTCCACAGAATGTATTGTATACTGCTATAGCTTAACTTTAGTTCACCACCAATGTTTAAAAAAAAAAAATTCCAACGCCTATCTGCTCCCCACCAAGTTTTCCTATTTTTGACTGCATCCCCTGAAGTTTTAGCTCCACTGTTGCACTATAATATAAAATAAATCTAACAGTTAGTTGGGTAACCCTTCACAATGTCCACAGCTGCTGTGCAAATTCAGGAACAAGTTAAAGTTCTCTCCTAAAGAGTTCCCAAGAGATCCAGAAAATGTTTGTTTAGGTGGTTTAATTTCATGTATGTATTTTGTTTAAGGTTTACCCATCCTCTGATGCTTGGTTCAGGTGTGCACACAACAGGAATCCCTCACCCAGCCATAGTGCCTCACTCAGGGAATAAAGAAATTGACTGCTATGACAGGAACATGTGAGTATATAAATATAATAAATCATTTTCAGTACATATGATATCAAACGTTGTAAAAAACAAAACAAAAAATAGCATCCCTTGCTCCCATTCACTGAGCTTGCTTCCTGTCTTTATACTGCCAGATGTAATTATTTACTGTGTAAGGGCGATGGATTGATGTCCCTGAAGACAACATAGTGATACAAAACTCTAATAGTGAGACACCATGTGCTCCATGGTTTCCACCTTCCCAATGTAGAGTAATGCAGAGCTTGAAAAATATGTAAGCTTTTCTGATCCTAAAAACGTAATTGTACTCCCTGTTTAATCATGGTAGAACACTAACAAATATTGTTGTGCAATCTTCAACTAAAACTTCATTTATGGTTTTGATAGATTTGGGAAGTGCTTAAACATCTATCATGTTTTAATGCTAATTTTATCCTTATTGAGAACCTTTCACTTTACTTGTTGTTTCCAAGTAAAAGGAAATCTCTCCATTAGGCATGCAGGTAGTTTTAACAGGACAGTAAAAAAAGGGTTCCAGAAACTCCATAAAGGTCTCATCTATGAGGTTTTTTTTTTTTTATGAAAGCCCTTGGGGCAACAGTGTCCATTGTATACATCTAACATTTAATAGATATTAGTATATGTATGTTTCCCAGCTAGGAATAGCACATTTTTCAACATCTAAGCGGAGGTCAACTGTGTGGCATTGGGGATATCTAGGTGTCCCAGGATATACATCAGGGGATGACATGGAGGGTTGTTTTTAAAGACTGTTTAGAAACTGAATTACATTTTCCAGTATTTAACAAGGATGTTGTCCAAGGAAGGAGGGATAAGCATCTGCTGGGGGTGATGTAAGCAGTTTGTAAATGGTGGAAATTGCGTGCCGGGAGGGTAGAAGGTCACCAACCTTTTTATCATTGGCATATTAGAGTAGGTTAGGATGGCTATTCCTTCCTACCCCCTGAAAAGCATATCTCAGTTGTAAATTTTGCAAGAATAAGTTTTTTAGTTCTAAGACCTCATCTTGTAATTGTCACATTAACAGATCTGGTATCTTTGATACCTTTCTTCTTCCAGAGGGTGAAGCCTTCTAATTTTGGTATTTCTGGGTAACAGGGGTTATTGGGGTAAAGTTGTTGCAACTTTCTAGCCCTTAAAGAGACTTAACTTTCCACAATATATATTATAAATTAGTGACACTCTACCCCCAAGCAGATAAATCTGTTAGGAATTTGCAGATTCAGGAATACACATCTGACATTGCAGTTGATTTGTTCAGCAATCCAGACTTTTGTCAGCATTTCTCTAGCATAGATAGCTATTAGCTATTACTAAAATTATTGCATTATGCATAAAAGCTCTGTTGGTAACTCCTTTTCACCTAGAGCCTTATTGTTGGAAAAGGAGGTCAGAAGTTGCTCATTAGTGTTACCTGAATTACTATTTCAAGTTCTGATCTGCTATATAAGCATTCACACTTACAGGTATGAGATTCTAAGGATTCAATCATGAGATTTTTGAGCTCAACACAATAACATAATTTATTGGTATATAGTATGCAGACTTGAATACAATGAACCAACAATCTATTTAACTACAACATACAAAGAAAATATTTCAACATGCCAAATACACAGACATTGGTATCTAACAGACAAACAGACATACAGTTAAGTGGGGAAAGAGGGCATGTATAGTTACCCATTAATCGTCACATGAGGGCCCCATTCTGGTGAAAGAGAACTAACTTCTTTCCTCAATCATTAATATACCCCCTGTGTCCATAGAGATGCATTGCAAGCCTTTGATTGGTTGCCTCCCAATCCCTACTGGGGATTAGAGGCTTTCTAAAACCCTCTATGCAAATCTATTAAGATGAGTGGGAAATTCTAGATGGGCAGGTGTCCTTAGGCTAACCCCAGGCCATAATTTCATCTAAACCAGGGGGACAATCTGGTTGTTTACTAGCGACAAGGAAACCTTTGATGATATTGGACAGAGACAAAAGAGTGTATGCAACCTATTGTGCGAATAAAGGGTCTCGGCTCCGAAAAGACTGATGACCAGCCATACTCTATGCAATTATCCGGACATGCCTGGGCCGAACAATAACCCTATTTACAATTCATTGGTCTGCAACTCCCCTCCACAGTGATAAGCACAACAAAGACTTTATTTCCCTACTAGCTACCCCCACCTCAGGTGAAATATTTAAAACAAGAAATAAAACTATATACATATGTCTTATGAAGATTTGACATAAACTCATAAGGTAAGATTAGTAAATCCCTGTATAATATTTACACTATATAATTATTACAATGTTGGGCCTTGGCAATCGTAGCCAAAACATTTCCACCAAAACACATTTTCTGGGGCACGTTGCAAAATGTTTCCCAGCTGCTTAGTGAAGTTGCAGAAGGATTATCTATGTAATCGTATTTGGCCCAGAGCACTTGCTTTATTAGTATTAAAATCAAAAGGACCTGCGCTATGGTAAAAACCAAACGCGCTGCTGTGCTAAATTATTGTTTGAAAAACACCCTGATATAATTATAAAAACAAATTGCACTGCGCTAAAACAATAAATGTGAACAGTTGTAAAATTCCATATAAAATTGTGCAGATTATAAAAGATCAACAATGTATATCCATATATTAGTGCAAATAAAATTATAAAAGATTCAATATATCCATCACCCCTGTGATAAGCCAATTAATGACCATATTAGTCCACTCTTGGTGAAAAGAACATACAGTATCCTGTTATCTAACTATTCATCTGTGTCAAAAATCCAATTCGTTCAGAAAATGTGCATATCACACAATATTTGTGCCACTCATCAAAGTGCTCCGTGCTTCTGTGTAAACCAATACACCCTTTGTGATGAAGTCAAAAGAAGGGTCCACACTCACCAGTTTTTAATGACCTCTTAAATAAGATGGTGATATAGCGCTTAGTGCGTTGTCTGTTTCCCAGCTGTATTTCTGATATCTCTCTATATTAGCCAGCAATCCCAAACAATCTAATAATCTCCCCAATCGCTCAGAAGGGAGACATATTATGTACTCATAGTGTAATAAATATTAAAAACACGCTTTATTAAAATAGATAAAACTACTCACAGAATAATAAAAAACGATTGCATTTAATGAAACCATACTCTATTCAGATAGTTTTTACAGCTCCACACACGTGATGACATCAGCAAGTGCCTGCCTATTGACACGTTTCATCATAAAAGACTTCGCCTGGACGGCGTACATGCTGAGATCAATGAATCGAAAATACCCTTTTGTCATTACAATTTCCTAGTAAACCACTAGATGTCCTCAGAGCATCCAAATTACTTATTCAGGAATGAATCACAATACATTTTCCAACCATCAGACTGTTTTAACCCTTAAGTTGCCAACCCCTTCAAAACACTTTATAACTCACCTGGCCACACCATTTTTGCAATTTTTCCCATCGTTTTGATTTTCTATTGCGTTGCTAGTTATATATTTTCTGAAAGCACAGGCCCAGTAGAATAAAAAGATGGTGCTACTAAATGTTTAGGCCCTGCAATAATTGGGCAAATCTTTAATCAATAATAAACCGATTAAAATACACAATTCAATTAATAAAGCACACTAAAATCGAAATCAGTGCACAAAACAAATACTTGTCCGACTAAATTTAAAAGATAAAACTGTATTGAGTTAATAAATAAAAAATATTTGTAAAATTTAAATTGCGCCTTTTTGCAAAATGGTAAAAAAATTAAGGAACGCAAAACTGTAAATAAGCGACTTGTGTTTAAAATCATTTGTGCACTGTCTTGGTGTATCACAACACACAGCAATATGTCACAACGCTTTGTCATGCGCTGCCTCAGTTAAATTAATGTTATTTTAAAAAGAAAAGAAAATCAAGCACTGCGATGCATTCTGACAACGCAGCGCATGTGCATGGCGTACACCACAATACGTTGTGCGTGTATGTGTTGGGGGGGTTGTTTTGTTTTTTAAATGTATTTTTATTTCATTTTTTATTAAGTTTTATTTTATTTTTTGTACCGTTGGGAGGGGGGCTTCGGGGAAATATTAGGGGTCTAAACAGACCCCTGACATTTCCTTTTTGAAATAGAAAAAGAAATTGAGGACACGAGTCCTCCAGAGTCCTCAATCTCTTTTTCTGCAGCCTCAGCACTCAATGAATGTAAAGCACTCAGTACAGAGGCTTCCTATTCATAACTGGTGATAGTAAAACATTTACTATCATCCAGTTTATGAATAGGTAGAATCCTCTATACTGAGGCTTCCACCCATTGAGAAACTCATGAATGAACTGGAAGTGGTGTAAAGCATAGTACTACGTGTCCCCAGTTGTTTTGAAACATTGGAGTGATCAGATGATTACTCCAGTGTTTTCTCTGCACAGAGGATCGGTATATTTTACACACATTTACTGATCCTCCCGCTCAGCCATCCGACCCGCTCGTCACGCACACATGACAGAGCCGCCGGAGATCCAGGATTTGACAGCCTGCGGCTCTGCACTCCTCTTGGTCATCCTGGATGTCACAGCTCCCTCCTCCTTTCCCCCCATGCCATTTCTCCTCAAATTCCTGCTGCCTCAGCCCATAGAGGCGGGAGAGCAGCAGGCATCCGAGGAGAAACAGATGCCAGCCTTGAGCAGGCAGGGAGGAGAGACTGCAGATGCCTGCGGCCGGTGCCGGCAAGGGGGGGCGCCCAGAATTTTTGTTAATAGCTGTCATTAGAGGCCTCTCAGCCGCTGATGACAGCTATTCATTTAAAGGGGACCATCAGGGAAACAGTTCTGATCTAAGCTTATAGCAGAACGGTAAAAGCTACCAACGTATGGCATAGACCATGCTTTTTCCAGCTGGTGATGACATCACCAGCTGGAAACAGATGTGTTCCGCCATATGCCGTACGTCGGTTGCAGGGGAAATTAAAAATGGCATCTTACTAAAAATGTCAGAGATTAAGATAACATC